TAGATAGATAGATAGATAGATAGATAGATAGATAGATAGATAGATAGATAGATAGATAGATAGATAGATAGATAGATAGATGTTTTAGATCTAATGATGAACGGGTTCTGTTAGTTCTAACACTGAAGTTCTGCTCCGGTTCTGATGGATCATGAGATCTTTGTCTTTAATTCCTGTTTTTCTTTAAAAACCAAACTTTCAGAAGTTTAGGGGTTTTGGATCCAGCTGTTGTGTAACTGGATGGAAAATCTTCTAGATGTGTTCCAGATGTTTCGGATTAGCACTGAAGCTGTTAAAAAACTCCAATAAACCTCAGTTCAGCCGGTTCTGGTTCTGTTCTGTCGGTGCCGTCGCTCTGCTGAAGGTCCTCTTCTTCTTCTCTGTCTTCAGCTGCACATCCTGGTGTCCGCCAGCAGCGTGAAGCTCAACGTGGACTGTCAGGAAGTGGACCAGAAGAAGGTCCGAGCCGCCGGGAACACGTCCAGAGACGGTTACCAGGTTCTGGGTAAAATGTCCAAATCCATCGGATCCAAGGGCACCTCGGCAACGGTGAGTTCTCCTGCAGAGACCGCTCCCCGCAGGCTCAGAGAATAAGAATATTACAGTCGTTAGTCCAGAATCGGTAAGAGTTGGACCCGTCCAGCACCATGTGATGCATCTGGTTCTGGTGCTTCTTATCTCGCTGCTGTTTGTTTTTATTTATTGAAACTAATCCTTTACAAAGAACCGTCTGTTAATAATCTGGACCCAGGTGGTTCTTGTGTCCTCAGATCAGTTTCGTCTGGTTTTACTAGTTTGAGTCGGTTCTGGTGAACCCACAGATCCTGGTTCTAATGAGCTCTAAAGTTCTGTTCTGTGGATGAACACCGGATCTGATGGACTCGCTGCTCCTCTCAGCAGGGACTTTAAACGTCACGGGTTAAAACCAGCAGCTGTAATCCGATCCAGTCCCTGCAATGGACCGGGCCGGACCAGACCCATGTAGCTCAGAACCGACCCTGTGCTCTGCTCTGCCTCTCCTCCACAGTTCCAGCTCCAGATGTTTGACATCGTCTGCAGCCTGGCCTGGAACAGCAGGGACAGATGTTGTGACCTGCCGTCCAAGGTAAGACACCCAAACAGCTGCAGGGTCCAACAGAACCTTCCAGACGCCTCCCATCAGAAGTTCCATCAGCTGACAGGTTTCAGACCATCAGGAGGGTCAGAGCTTTAACTGGTTTCTGTTCTAAACATGATGAGCTCATCTGATGAACGAGTCTCTGAGGAAGAACTGCTGGGTTTTATTTAGTTTCACTGGATACACAAGATTTCTGTAAAACAATCCCAGAAATGTTAAAAATTCACATCTGCTGCCGCGTTTAGTTCATTCTGTCTGTCTGCAGTTTCAGTTGTGCATCTTTACAGAAGAAACAAATTGTTTTTGACGCTTGAAATGTAGAAAAATTCATAAAAACGTTCAGTTCCGATCTGATGGCTGAATGTTCAGCTGTTGGTCAAAGCACAGCTACACTGACAGGTAGGTGATGCAGACAGGAAACAGGAACCAAGCCCAACTCCTGATGGCATTTATCACCACAGAACCCTCACACATGCAAGGTGTTTATTTCAGCCACATTTACAGGAAGGTGAAACCAGTACGGAGCTAACGCTGTGCTAACGTGTAGCCAACTTAGAGCTGTCACCGAGCTAAAACCAGCATAGAGCAAAGCTAACTCGGAGCTAGCATAGAACTAATACAAAGCCAACACAGTAAAGTATGTGAAAACCCCAAAAAGCATTGAAAAATGCAGCTCATACACCTGACAGGCCCCGCCTGTTCATCCTCCAAAGCTCCGCCCTGAAGAGTAACCATGGCAACATGTTTCACTTCCAGGAACATTCCTGCAGGTTGTTCCTTCAGACAAGGGTTCCTTCAGCTGATCTTCCTTTTGATGTTTGTTTCTCCGTCAGAGAGATGAGCTGAAGTGTCCGTCCCTCCCCAACTCCTGCACCTGCACCTCCGAGGCCACCGGGCAGCCGGGCCCCCAGGGCCCAGTGGTGAGAGTCCTCTTCATGTTATAAACCATTCTTGTCAGATCCAGAGCTGTCAGTCATTCTGGGTCCAGGATCAGAATCAGAACTTACTGTTTGATGTTTTACTAACATAAGTCTGACGAGACTCTTGCGCCAGTAGTTTCTGAAAGGGGCATGGGAGACTGATCATCCTAGCCCAAGTCTAGGACCAGTTGACCAATTTCTGAAAGGGGCATGGCAGACTGATCTTAGTCCAGGTCTAGGACCAGTTGACCAGTTTCAGAAAGGGGCATAGGAGACTGATCTTACTCCAGGTCTGGGAACAGTAGACCAGTTTCTAAAAGGGGCATGGCAGACTGATCTTAGTCCTGGTCTAGGACCCGTAGACCAGTTTCTGAAAGGAGCATGGGAGGCTGATTTTAGTCCACTTCTAGGACCAGTAGACCAGTTTCTGAAAGGGGAATGGCAGACTGATCTTAGTCCAGGTCTAGGACCAGTTGACTAGTTTCTGAAAGGGGCATGGGAGGCTGATTTTAGTCCCAAGTCTAGGACCAGTAGACTGGTTTCTGAAAGGGGCCTGGGAGACTGATCTTAGTCTAGGTCTGGGACCAGTAGACCAGTTTCTGAAAGGAGCATAGGCGACTGATCTCAGTCCAGGTCTAGGACCAGTAGACCAATTTCTGAAATGGGCATGGTAGACTGATCTTAGTCCAAGACTAGGACCAGTAGACCAGTTTATGAAAGGGGCATGGGAGACTAATAGTCCAGGTCTTGGACCAGTGGACTAATTTCTGAAAGGGGCATGGCAGACTGATCTTTGTCCAGGTCTAGGACCAGTTGACCAGTTTCTGAAAGGGGCATGGCAGACTGATCCTAGTCCAAGTCTAGGATCAGTGGACCAATTTCTGAAAGGGTCATGGCAGACTGATCTTAGTCCAGGTCTAGGACCAGTAGACCAGTTTCTGAAAGGGGCATGGCAGACTGATCTTAGTCCAGATCTAGGACCAGTAGACCAATTTCTGAAAGGGGCATGGCAGACTGATCTTAGTCCTGGTCTAGGACCAGTGGACCAATTTCTGAAAAGGGCATGGCAGACTGATCTTGATCCAGGTCTAAGACCAGTGGACCAGTTTCTAAAAGGAGCATAGGTGACTGGTCTTTTTTTCAGGTCTAGGACCAGTGGACCAGTTTCTGAAAGGGGCATGGCAGACTGATCTTAGTCCAGGTCTAGGACCAGTGGACCAGTTTCTGAAAGCGGCATGGGAGACTGATCTTAGTCCAAGTTTAAGACCAGTAGACCAGTTTCTGAAAGAGGCATGGGAGACTGTTCTTAGTCCAGGTCTCGGACCAGTGGACCAGTTTCTGAAGGAGTTTTGACAGTCCAGTCTACCTGTGTTTAGTGGCTCTGGAGTCTGCTGGGGTCACTTTTAAGGGCTGTCTTGTCCCTGTTGAACCTGTGTCCACATGCTTTGGACAAAGTCTACCTGTCCAAGTGTCCTCTCGCCTCTCAGGAAAGAAGCAGCAGGTCAGGAAATGGACAGAGGAACCTCAGCAGGTTTTATTTGGACTCAGAACTCTGACAGCAGGTTTTCTGAGACTCTCAGCTGGGTCATGGTCTCAGTTTTTGTCTTCGTGTAACCTGTCCTCCTCAGGGAGCTCCTGGCAGCAAAGGTCCTCGAGGAGAAAGAGGAGAGCCTGGTTCGTCTGTAAGTGTTGAAACCTAACCCCAACCCCAACCTCTGAAACACAAACATTTTCACTTCCATCAGTCTGCAGCATCAAACTCCGCCCACTTTGTCTTTCAGGGACCCGTTGGACCACGTGGAGACAATGGACCACCTGGACCCATGGGTCTGCCTGGACCTCAGGGACCCAGTGGGATGTCAATGCCTGGAGAGGCTGTACGTCTGTACACACACAAGACACACACTTGATATACATAACCTCCTGTGTCTCCCTGTCCCACTGTGTCCTCCTGTCCCACTGTGTCCTCTTGTCTCACTGTGCCCTCCTGTCTCACTGTGTTCTCCTGTCTCACTGTGTCTGTCCTCTTTTCCCACTGTGCCCTCCTGTCTCACTGTGTCTTCCTGTCTCACTGTGTCCTCCTGTCTCACTGTGACTTCCTGTCGCAATGTGTTCTCCTGTCTCACTGTGTCTGTCCTCTTTTCCCACTGTGTCCTCCTGTCTCACTGTGTTGTCCTGTCTCACTGTGCCCTCCTGTCTCACTGTGCCCTCCTGTCCCACTGTGTCCTCTTGTCTCACTGTGCCCTCCTGTCTCACTGTGTCCTCCTGTCTCACTGTGACTTCCTGTCGCAATGTGTTCTCCTGTCTCACTGTGTCTGTCCTCTTTTCCCACTGTGTCCTCCTGTCTCACTGTGTTGTCCTGTCTCACTGTGCCCTCCTGTCTCACTGTGCCCTCCTGTCTCACTGTGTTTTCCTGTCTCACTGTGTTCTCCTGTCTCACTGTGCCCTCCTGTCTCACTGTGTTGTCCTGTCTCACTGTGTCCTCCTGTCTCACTGTGTCCACCTGTCTCACTGTG